TCCACACCGGCAGACGGGTGATGAAACAGACCTCACGGGAGATTCACAACTGCGGAGCGCCAAAGCGACCTGCCGCACGTGGCTCAGGCGGGCGGGCTCTGCCAGTTAGCCCGCTAGCTCACTGGCTGCAGCCAGCTAGCGCGCTAACTAGCGGCGAGCTGGCAGACGGGGAGACGCATGGCGACGCGTCGGTGGAGGCAGCGCTGGAATCACAGGGGGAGAGATTCAGATGGGATTCTGATGGAACCGGCTCCACGGGCGTCGATATCACACAGGACGGAGGGGATCGAAGGGGGGGGGGGGAATACGTTTTGGGGGGGTAACATTACACAGAGAACGCACAGGAATTCCCACTGGGTTTTTATTCTCCTCCCATCAGTTGCAGCACTCACGTAATCACCGGTTTGAGGAGGAGCAAATTGGACCTCAAATGAAATCTCCGGTATGGGATCGGAAGAGTTGATGAGGCGCCAAAAGCCGGTGATGTATTCAGGTGAGCTCGTTCCAGGCGCGATGGATGGATGGAACGAGGTGCGGGGATTTGTTGACAGAGAGAAGTACGACGCTGCTACGGGGTTTGCTGTCAAGGGAGGGGAAATTGAAGACGGCTAATGGGAGGCACAGAAATAATTGTCTTTGGCAGATTTTTATTGGACTGTGTGCCAATAAAAGTAAACGAATTCAATGGAGGGAAAATGTTGGCAGGGACGCCGTGGAAGGGGACGATATGTGGACAAGTGTAAGGGAAAAGGAGAACGGCCATGTTGCACTACAGGGATCAATTACTGGGAACTGTAAGATACGGTATTTGCTGCACCGAGTGCAGTGTGGCTTTATTGCACTGGGACGGTGTTTGGACGAAGGAGGAGATTATTAACCACACAGGAAGGAGGAGAAAGTGAGGGAAGGAAAGTCGACAGAGAATCAAAGAAGCGTCAGAGGGAGAGGCCGAGAGAGACGAGTGGCCCAAACCTCCAGGCTCGCACTCCGGCCCTCCGCGCTCTGCGTTTCTGCTCGTGTTGCACTTTGTAGCGCGCGGCCCATTAAAGCGGATGACAGTGTAACTCACCGCTGATAATCAACAGAGAGAGCAGATTCTCAGAGACGAGACCCCGGGCCTCGTTTATTATGTTAGATTTTTCTATTGAATCTGAGTGCGCCGTAATTTTTCAAAGTGGGAAGGAGGTGCAAGGAAAGTAATTTGCAAAATGAATAATCAAGACGTGTGCGGTCGAGGACCGGGCAAATTAAGTTTACAATTTATACAAGTTGTAAGGGCAAATAAAAAGTGAATGCCATGTTTTCAAATCAAGAGATCTAAATATTCAGTAAATATTGCTGTTTTCACCCACACAATCATTTTATAATGCATTTAACACAGATATGAGTAAACTGAACTAGTGGCAAAGTCTTTCACTACCAAATTATGTCAAGTTCTAAGTATTGTGTTTGTATTGTTATGTTGACAAAAATGGCATATTTGATATACAATCCAAAAGAAGAAAATATTGTTTACATTTCTGTCAGTAAAATACACGTATGGAGGGGGAAGCAATTTATTATTTTAATATTGATATAGAATTTAGCAGGCATATGCTTCTCGTCTGTAGATTTCTGGATTGATTATTTAACAGCACTTAGTGAAATATCAAATTCCCAGAATGCAAATGGATCTTTTAACAGCCCCGAATCTCTAAATATTTATTTCACGATAATAAGCTGCTAGTTCTTGGATATAAGAAGCTGAATCCACATAGTTTAGCGTGATGAAAATTTGAATGATGGATTCAATAAATTCATTTGTAAACTAATTTCCTATTGACCGACCGTGAGGTTGATTCACTAACTTCGTCTTTGCACCACGAACAGTAGACGCAGTTTGAGAGCACAGCCCCGGAAAGCAACTAACGCAACTGAATGCTGGACGCAATCTGCCACTACGCATGCGTTCATTGTACTTAGCCAACAAAGAGGCAGTGAAGAGACACATTTTAAAAGGCTCTGCTATGTATGTTCATATTTGTGGATTTTCAGGCTTCTTATTTCTACTGCTTCCATCAGTTCATAACCTTTGCTAAAGGAACTTGGGGAGGAAAAAACGAAAACTAACCAAAAGCAGATAAACCTCCGACCTCCTCAAGGTACTCTTCAAATGCTGATTCCATGACGCACCTCGGAGTTGACGGGAGGTTTGAACCGGCATTAAAAGGCAACTGAAGGCCATTACAAGTCTCCACTTTGCTTCAAAGAAAAAGTAAAGGACAGATGGCAGAGAGGAGGAGAGACACTGGAGGAGACATGAGAGATGGGAGCCACAAGAGAGAAGTTTAGAGATGGTTAATGATGATGGAGACGGAGGAAGAGCGGTAATGACTAGAAAACACCCAGAACAGCACGGATAGGGACATGAGAGGGAAGCGGAGGGTCCAAAAGAAGAGAAGGAGGAGGGGAGGCACTCGAGGAGGGGGCACACGGGGTTACAGAGGCGGGCGAGGTCACCATTCAACCCCGTGGCATCCCTCAGTAATTGAAATTAGGTGGGGGGGGGTCGGGCGGGAGGGCAGCGGCACCGGAGGAAACAGGCGACATGATAATCAATTTGAGGCTGAATCGGAAACATGAGCCACTGGGGGGGCCTCGGTCCCCCTGCCAGGCCTCCAGATGGCCCCGGCCCCAGCCCTGTGTGGGCCCTGTCAGAGCATGCAGTGTGTGTGTGTGTGTGTGTGTGTGTGTGTGTGTGTGTGTGTGTGTGTGTGTGTGTGTGTGTGTGTGAGAGACAATACCATCTGCCAGGAGTGCAGGGGGAGTTCAGCAGATGTATTTGCTGACACTAGGGGCGCAGGAGGACGTTATACTGTATGCGCGTTTGTGTGCGTGTGAGTCTGTGCGGTTGATGGAGAAATGAACACAAAAAGTTGTGGCGCTCTGTCTGGCGACACAGGGAGTTTGATCATATTAAATATACAATATCATTGCTATGTAGGAGGTGGCAACAGTTGCATTGTCGTCGACGTTCTCCATTCAACACCTTTTTATGTGAGGTTGTTCTTGCGACGAGCCGAGTGTCGTCGGCTGTAATTTGGTGGCAAAAAATAGTTAAGGAAGCAGTTCACGGCGTGGAAATTATTGCTGGAGAGTTTTTCAATTGTGTCATTTTGTGCGGTTTTTGACGTACGTTTTCATGAAAGATTTCGTAATAATGTATTTTGACCAAAGATTTTTTCGACCTAACACATTTTTTTCTTCTGTAAAATTTTTTTTTTTTTACTTTTTTATCCTGAAGTATTTCAGTATTCTTGAAGCCTTTTTTCCATTTAATATTATTATTAAAAAAATAGTCTTGTTGCATTATATTCAGAGAAGGCAGACATTTCTATGGCAGTTATTTCCAACATTGTAATTGACAAAACCGTCTAAATTGATGAAAATACAAAATACATATATATTCATTTTTGTTTTGTGGTAAATTGTGGTTTAAAATGGTGACGCGGTTACCTGAAAGGTTCTTCAAATCACTCGATTTGTGTTAATCCTACTATAAAAGCTCAAGGTGTTGCTTTGTGCGCTTCCAGTTTCCCTTTTTTCATTCAGCCTTTCTTTCCTCTTCTCCACAATCTACAATAGTTGAAGAAAAAGAAGTAATGTATCTTTTAAATATACATGTTCCATTGCTTTACATTTTACCTTTTTCAAATGAGGTAAATTATACAAGTCAAAAGATACACCTAAAAATACAAACCTGCCTCTGCAGCTGAAATCAACAAAAACATTCACAAAGTTCACATGTCTGCTCCCCAAGCTCACGGATCCAAAGAGCGAGAAGAAGAAGAAGCAAGGAGGAAATAGAACGTGAGAGATTCAGCGGGAGCATCAGGGGGAGCAGTGTGATGCGGAGAAAATCGAAAAAAAACACATCCCCAACTGTATCTTGTTAAGACAACTATTCCAGTGAGCTTTTATTTTGAAACAAAGAACAGGAACGTAAAAAACATATATTAATAATAACTTCTTGAGGCGGTGTATGTATATATACACATATACGGCCAAAGTATTATTTTCATTGTCTATTTCTGTTGTGGAAAATGGAAAATCTCTTCTGTGTTTTCGTCACGTCGGCCTTGGTGCTCGATAGACAGGACAAAAAAAAAACTGTTTTTCACAAAAAATACATATGAGGGCAATAAGGCTACAGACATGTTAATTGATGGCGGATCAAGGAGAACACGGGCAGACTGACGGATGAGCAATGCGCACACACACACACACACACACACACACACAGGCACTTGCAGGATGGAGCATAAAAACACACCATTCATAATAAATGACACACACATACAGACAGAAAAATGTGTACTGCTCTTAAAAAACCCGTCATTGAGCCGCTGCCTCTCTTTCGTATTTCTCTCCGCCGTTGTTCAGCCGCTGCGACCACAGTGGAATTGCTTTGGTTTCGCGGTGAAAGGAGCTGCAGACGTCGTCTATGTGGGCTGTGAAGAGCTCCGCTGGCTTTTTCACACAGTTAAAGTGATATGAGGGTGAACGTATTTTTTTTTTTACAACATAGATTGTAAACGTATCTTTAGCAGGGGTTGGTCCTCAGGGTGGAATATTAACTACAACGGCTCCAGCGTTGATTTGCGTCTCTGCTCAACCTCAACTCAGCCGACCGGGACCTGAAGGGGCCTCTGCAGCCCCGGCTTCGCTGTTTCTAAATGACTGCGAGTGGCTTGACGTGCCACAAGCAATTTAGGAACAGTAAAGCCAAAGTTAGGAAGAATGAATTATATTTCTAAAGGTCGACTTCTTTTCTTGACATCCCTCAATGGATTGAAGTCATGAAGATGATCCGGTTGTTGCCACATCTCCCAAAGCACCTGCTGTTACATGATCAAAACTTCACGCTCAACGTGGGACAAACGTAGATGGTTGTATGTTTAATTTTTCTACTCTTCTCCTTCCCTGCCCCCCCCCTTCCTCCCGCCCCTCCCCGTCTTTAGGTGAACCTGCAGTGGCCAGAGAGAATAACTGTCTGAATGCCGCCAAGGCCTGCAACCTGAATGACACGTGCAAGAAGTACCGCTCGGCCTACATCAGCCCCTGCACCAGCCGCGTCTCCACCGCCGAGGCCTGCAACAAGAGGAAGTGCCACAAGGCGCTGCGGCAGTTCTTTGACAAGGCAAGGCGGAGAAACAAAGGCCTGATATCTCATTAAAAGCTGAGTGTCCATCACATAGCACCTCCTGCGGAAGGAGGATCGGGTACATGAGTTAGACGGGGGGGGGGTTTTACTATCAAAATGAATCAGCCGGGCTTTTTGCCGCAGGGCTTTTCTTCCACATCTGTTCACTCGTCAAACGCCAGTTTTTGCTGTAATTACAAGGCGGCTCCCTCGATGTCCCTTTGGAACACTGGGCCCCCTCTCAGTCGGCGACGACATGAATTGATAGAAAACTACAGAGACTGCGTGACATTGTTGATCTTGTTGTGATTCTCTGTGAGTCTGTTTTTCACAGCAGAGAACTTTCTTTGTGGTGGAGATAAAACGAGGATGACATTCTTCTATTGAAGCCAAATTGTTCTGTTAGAACCCGTCTTACTATCTAGCGTGTGTCATTAAACTCTGGCATTAGAATGTATTGATGTAGTTATTAGACTGAAGCCATTTAACAATGCATGAGAGACAATTTTGATGTCATGATTGTTTGATTCAAATTTGCACTTACCACTTAATAGACTCAACAAAGTCTCCTTATAACTGGTGAGTTTCACATTTCCGTGTGGTCCTCGCTCCACACAGGTCCCCCCGAAGCACAGCTACGGCATGCTGTACTGCTCGTGCCCGCTTAGCGACCAGACGGCGTGTTCCGAGCGCCGGCGTCAGACCATCGTCCCCGTCTGCTCGTACGAAGAGAAGCAGAAACCCAACTGCCTCGAGCTGCAGGCCTCCTGCAAGACCAACTACATCTGCAGGTAGGGAACCGCGTTCCCAGAAGGGTTACTAATGTTGCACTGTGGACGTTATGCTTTAGGATTAGTGAATGAATCCCCAGAACTCTCAAGAAACCAGAACTGAAAAGTTAAACCGAGCATTTAAAAAAAATGAAGCCAAGCACCAGAAACGGCCACTCGAGGCTTCATGCTGTTAAAATGCCCAATTTTACTTACAGCCTCAAACATCCATCCATCCATTTTCACACACAGGGGGGCTGGAGTCCATCCCAGCCAACTTCGGGCGATAGACAGGGTTCGCCCTGGTCTGGTCGCCAGCCAATCGCAGGGCTACACAGAGACACACAACCATTCACACTCACATTTCACATTCGTTTCCCCAATCAACCTGATCTCCAGAGCACGTCTTTGGACTGTGGGAGGAAGCCGGAGAACCCGGAGAGAACCGACACAGACACGGGGAGAACATGCAGACTCCACACAGCTGTGATCAAAACACCTATTTGCATTCATTCTAAATTCTTCTTTGTCCTTAACCCGTAAGACTTCATTGTGTCCTTCTGTACTCACTGTAGCCAGCGACACCAGTGGAAATTCAAGGCCTCGAGGTCCAGATTCAAACACAGAAAACGACACGTGGCCCCACCTTCATTGACGCTGTGTTGTGCGTCGTCTCGCCCACAGCCGGCGGCCTCATGGCTATCTGGGATTCAAAGAAAGCATTTGACATAATAAGTGGGCCCCATGTGGCCCGTGGCCTCGGGTCTCCCTCCTCCTCTGTCTTTCTTTTTCTGTCCCTTCTCTCCCCGTGGCGCTGTGCATCGGTCAGGCGTACACGCTTCCCCCCGGTCCATTTGCCGGTTGGCACAGATAGATCGCAGCAGGTCGGCGCGATTAGAGAGATCAGACCGTGAGTTCCACCGGTAGTCCTTCACATCAACCATTTTACCGCTGCTGGCTGGCAAATGCAATGGCTGCCCCCGAGCTATGATGTTAGCATTGCTAGCAGGAACGGTCCAGCACAACGCTTTTCCGTAAGGTGGTGACATTGGGAGGTTCTTTGTTTTGTGTCAAAGGGTGCCATCTCACCCCAAATGGAGAATTCCTCAAGAATCCGAGACCCAAAGTTCAATTTCACAGGCGCTGCCCCCGTGGCAGGAGTGTAAACAATCGTGTGCTGAGGTGGTAAATGAAACAGAACAGACTTGAGGGGAGGGCCCGTTTATTGCAGGACATTACTGTAGCTGCGGCGGCGTGCGTGACAGGGCCACCCCCCTCCGCTGGAGGCGGACGTTAGGAGGGCTAATTGCATTGAGAGAAATTACTCCGCCGCACATTTGGACCTGCCATTCGGCTGCACGTTCCAATTTCGCCCCCTGGCAGGTGTGAAAGCCTCGTACGAAATGTTTCGTGAGCCGCGGTCGCGTCTGGCTCTGAAATAACTTTGGTTGCGTTTGCGTTGCAGGTCACGACTGGCTGACTTCTTTGTCAACTGCCAGCCGGAGCCTCGCTCGCTGTCAGGCTGTCTGAAGGAGAACTACGCCGACTGCCTGCTCTCGTACTCCGGTCTGATTGGTGAGCACACGCAGCGTTTAGTCCAGGTCTATGGATTGTTTCTTCAATGGTGTGTTAAAGGGGTATTTTGCATGTGTCTTTTTGCTTATGGTGAATTGCTTTTTTTACGTTAGTGGGTCTGAAAGAGGCCGAAGCTGCCTCATGGCATCATGGGTAATCACCAAAACCGCAACCGAAATATGTTCATAAGAAATATTCATAAACAAATCACTTGTATCAGTTTATGTGCTGATCGGTGGGAATTGAATTGAACATGTGAATGAATATATATGTATCTGTGTGTGTGTGTGTGTGTGTGGGAATCTTAGGTGCTCACATTTAATGGCCAAAGTAGGTAAAAAAATAAAAATGTTGTAAAATGCCGTCATTGAAATGAGATTAATGAAGAAATACTGCAAACAAAACACGGTGGATGATCTCCAAAGAAACCTAAAGATGAACTTTTGGCAAAGTCAGTTTCCAGGTCTCATCAATGCAGTTGGTGAAAACAAAGAAAAGATGAGAATAGAAACCCCAAATTCCTTTTAATTGAACTCAAGGTGTAATCCCAGTCTCAATCTGCCAAACCTTCCTCACATCCCACCGTGTTCTCACAACAGTCACCTAACCCGCCCGCGCACACACAGCCGGTCCGCCCGGCCACAATCGATTCCCTGTACTGCAAATCCAAAAGGGCCGGTTTTGGGAGCGCAGCCAGCACCGGAGAACAATCCGTCGGCGCAGTGAAAAATCACCGAGCGAAGCTATTTACTCCCCCTCGCATGGAGAGAGCCTATTCCTCATTCCCCTCCCGCAGAAACTCCCCCTCGCCGCGTTACCCGTGTTCACGGGGAGGAGGGAGGCAGAAATGTTATTACGCCATTCGTCTTTTAACCCAGAAGGAGGACGATAGCTGGAGTCTTAAAGGCTTTTGATATTCTTTTCTTTTCTTTTTTTTTTCTCTCTTGGCAGCGAGCAGCGTATCGAGATTCTCCACTATAATTCAGCGAGAATCACATTCCTAACTCCAACACAGACACACGTGAATGAATTGTTCCCTCCACCTGCTGCAGGTACCGTGATGACTCCCAACTACCTGCGCTCGCCCCAAATCAGCGTCTCGCCCTACTGCGACTGCAGCAACAGCGGCAACAACAAGGACGAGTGCGACAAGTTGACCGAGTTCTTCACGGAGAACACCTGCCTGCGTGAGTTTGTCCCTCCGCTGCCCACATTCTCCTCCTCGTCTGCTCCACTGCAGCCTTTTTTCTGTTCCCTTTCTATTTGCATCCCTCCGCTCTGCTCGTCTTTCTTGTCTCTCCTTCTAACCAAATATATCCCTTCGCCCCGGCTTGCATTGTTATCCCTCTGCATTATAGAGGAACCAGTTCCCTTGCAGCAGGCTGTCTAAATATGCGTGTGTGTGTGTTTGTGTGTGTGTGTGTGTGTGTGTGCCCAAAAGCTCTAGCAGGAGTCCTGCTCCAGTTCTTTGACAGAAAGCGGCTTTTTTTTAACACAGCCCTCTTACACAACCACTTTAATTAACAACCACACACACACACACACGTAACCGGCCACGATGCATGAGTTGCAGCACGTTTTACCGCGCTGTGGAGATAAGAGCCGGATTCATTGCATGTTTCTGTGTAATCGGAGCTTATTCTGCTCCTTTTGCTTTGGTGCTACACTCATGTCAGTCAGCCAGCTGCTTTCCTCCACAACACGGTTTAAGTGCAATGTGATTCCTCATTGATTCCCGGGTGGAGGTCAGAACACGGGGCCACGTGAGAGTATCTTGCTCAGTGTCACCCGAGCGGGATGGACGCTCGGTCAAAGGGGCTTCGCTGGAATCTGGTGGACTACCTGAGTGAAACATTGGCCCTTTTTCTTTGAAGATATGTATATAGTACCTACTTTTTATTTGCCAACATAACTGTAAAGTGGTGGAAGCCCTTAATAACTGCCTTCGGTCGGAGTGGCGTGCATCTCTCTGGCCTTTTCTTCTTTGTTTTGGACAGTTTTCTCTCCCCAAACAAAGATCCCGAGTGGAAAAGAGGAAAGTACCTCGCTCAAACTCTGCAGACGAGAGCCGAACCCAAAGAGACTCATCCAGTTGTAAAGTGTTGAGGTTGATACACACATTCGCCTCTCTCTGCACAAAGTGCACAGTTGACTTCTAAATGAACCAATTGGGCGTTTGATTGATGTATCAATCGGCCAACTGGTCAGTGGCTGCTGACTGATTGACTGCATGTGTGTATTTGTGGCATGAGCAGCATTTCATACGTGTGACACGTGTGTTAATGGGGGTTAAAAGACGCTCTGTCTGCATATCTATTTTTGGGTTAATTCAATGTAAGGCAGAAGGGGAGGGAACCTATTACTGAGGCGTGTGCACGCCGGCTCGTGCTTCTTCTTTCGTCTCATCCCGTCTCATCCCGTCTCCCCGTGTCCTCCTCTCGTTGCCGGCCTCTGTGTGCGCTCATTAAGCTTGCTCAGCAGTAACAGGAACTGACAACCCCGAAGATCCTGACACACACACGCGGCGGTCACAGGGTCACGACCAGGGAGAAGCTACGAGACGGAGGCAGAAAGAGAGAATATGGAAAGACTGAGAGCGAGGACTTACTTATACTGCACTTTAGATGTTGTATCGTTTAGATGGGAGACGCTCTGCTTTCCCAACCGGATCAAAGCTCATGTCTGTATTGGCTAATGTCCCACAAAATGAGTTTCCCCCTTTTTATTTTGAATACTTTCAGACGCTTTAGGTGGTACAAAGATTCAGCAATTCAAAAGCATCGGTGAGAAGAATTTCCTTTTGGATGTTGTAATTTGTCACACAACTCCTGAGGGGTTATCTCGCCGTCCTTTATATGCAATAATATTCCCAAATATATTAAAGGCCTTTTCCAATACGACGCCTCCCCATACCCGCAATATGGTCTGAATACGCAAAGGTCACTGCAGTCCAGCATTGCAGCAAACCGCGTAAATGTAAAGTGAGACGAAGTGGGTGTGTAGACAAATTTGGTTTGTGTGTACTTTTCGAGGACTACTTTTTAGACCCTGAAAGTGGAGGTGATGGCTTCTTTTTTTTAAGTAAGGACATTTGTTCTGGTCATCAGCCCTTAAAAATGTCTCCCGGGTGGTTGAGACGTCCTTTTTTAGGCTTGTTTTACGAGGTGACACTCGCCGCATGTGGGTTTCAGATCAAGTGTGCTGATGTCATCCATTCCCGGATTAGGTGATTGGTTGTAGACGTGAGCAACCACTCCCAGGAGAGCTTTCACTTTAAATAATGAGACCAGGTCTGTGCATACTCGACTCCTTTCCTCGCCCCCTCGCCCCCTCGCGTCCTGCCCACTGGATAAACAAGCAGAGGAGAGACGAGTCAAGGTATCAAGCAATTAACAAAATGAGACTTGTCGCCATTTGACAGTGACTTCTATTGAGTGTGACATATACGGTCATAACAATTTGGAGAGGACAATGAATCTACGAACACAGAGCTGTGGAGGACAGCGTCTTGGTTTCATTTTGTAATTCCAAAACAAAAGGAAAGCCCACGTGGACGTCCGACATACTGAGACTTAATTTGAGACGCCGACGCTTTTGCACAGACGACTTAGCCTGAGGTGAGGAGACAGAGGAGCCCATCAGCGCTCACAAAAACGCTCATCAGCCGCCCGCTGCCTCGGCACAAAGCTGACAGCTACACAATCACACACGCACGCACAGGCAAGAATTAGATAAGCACATGCACGCTCATGAGAAAAGTTGCACGTACTGTCAGGGCGGCGGGATATTGACAAAAATGACTTAATTTTTGCTGATTATTGCATCTCTGACACGAATGCAGCACCTCTTTACACACTATTTATTTTACTAGAATATAAAATTAAGTAATTGTCGGTCACTAGTTGTTGTTTTTCAGAGCCGTGGCTTGTCCCATTATGTTGCATGTGCTTTAATCCATTCCTACTAAACCCACATGCTTATTTAGGCTTCCATACATATAAAATGCACTTTAAAACCAAAATATGTGACATATAATTCTATCATATTTCTCCAGTGATTTCTTGTTTATTTCTTGGTGACTTTGACAGAGAGAGAGACGGTCCATGTTTTGGGATGTCTGGTCTCATCAGAGGTAAATCCAGCACAGCAGATAAAGTGATGGAGTTTCCGGATCTGCTTAGTTGGAGATTAATAGTCGAATAGTAGATTAATAGATAATAATATTAAACCCTTTTCTTATTCTCACCATTTACATCCTTATCTTCATTTATTCATCTACAGCACAACAAACAGCAGAAACTGGTCCTCGGCGTCCAGTTTTTTGATGCTTTTGTTTTTTTGCATGGGTCACGTCCCGTTCCTGGAAGTTTAGTTTCAACTCTTGTCAATTTTGAAAATCATTGGAAAAATATGCTGGTAAAAGATATCAAATAATTGCCCCGATGTGGAAGCATGGAGGCCTCACAGAATCCTCAGAACTTACAGGACTGACTCGTGTGAGTGTTCGCTGATCTACTGACTCGATGTTTAGGGCCTATTTTCGCTGGAAACGACCTCATCTCTCTCCCGCGGGGAAGAACTAGCGTATTCATGAATTAAAGAAACAAGCGCTGCGTGTTTATGTCCCTCGATCCGGTGCCAGAATCCTATTCAGAGACACATCAGTTATTCACAGGTGCTCCAATGATACATACAAGTGTGTTGTGATTCACATTTGAACGAACGCTTCTAATTCAAAGCACGAGTGGTTTAAGGTGTTTGGAGCGTCTGTGCAGAGAGGGGAAGCGAAATGAAAGACTGGTGGGTTTTAGCAGCAATCACAGCCGGGGTTATTAACCTCTGAAAGAAACGATGTTTTATTTTGATAGAATGCAAATTGCATCTTGTGGCGCCGCATTTTTTATGCATTGGTGGATTGTTGCATTCGCTTATTTTGAATACAGGTGGAAGGTTTTTATGCACACAACACACTCTCGGGAAATTTGTTGGGTTTTTATTTCTGTTAGCGCATCTCAGCCTATTTTTGAGTATTTTGAAAAGTAATACCGAACGCTCTTTGGATGGGGAACCGCATTGCTCACCGCGAGAAATCTTCCCTTGGGTCTTGGCCACAGCATGATGCATATTTCTTTCGGGTAAAAGGAGTCTTTGACAATCAGCTTTTTTCTCCTTCGCCCGTTTTATAATTCCTTTTTGAGGGTGGGCGGGGGGAGAATATCATTAGGTTCAACCATCAGCTCTGAGAGGCTCAGCTTTCCTGTGATGTGATGTGTGTCTTTTACATCCAAGCCATGGAACGCTATTAATAGGCCCACTAATGCACTCTAATGGCAAACACCCACCTCAGCACTCAGCTTTCTGATTGTGGGGTTGATTTATATGGGGGGGGGGGGGGGGGGTGATAACAAAACGTAAGTACCTTCTAACTCACGTTTAATTGTGGTTTAGGCCGCTGCAATATAAAGTCTTTATTCTAACATGTGGAGCATCATGATAACATCCGGCTTCATGCTAAAGGAACCTGCTTGCAATTACTAAGCAGTAATTCGGTTGTGGCTTATAAAACAAATTATTTTGCAAGTAAAGAGTCAACAGGTGATTTGTCGGGAGCTTTTAATGCGAGTAAAACTTCTCGTCAGAATTAACGTAATTGTTTGAATCACTGCAGCTCCCAGGAACAATATTACTACACGAGCTTCACGTGCAGCACTAAGTAAAAAGTATGTGTCGTTCCCCCTCTCTGCAGGCAACGCCATCCAGGCCTTCGGGAACGGGACGGATGTGGGTGTGTGGCAGCCGATGTCCCCCGTCCAGACCACCACCTACACCACCACCCCCTACCAGAGGAACCGCGAACGCAACCCCAACACCGCGGACAACGCCATCAACACAGACCCCGGCATCTACCACTTCTGTGGCAGCTTACAGGTAAGACGCACACAGACACACACTGACGCACACCGTGTTCACAGGCTTAAGTGTTCCAGTCAGTCGGGGACAAATATGATTCCACATCATGGAAACGTTTCTAAAACTTTTCTTTTTTTTCGTCTGCGTGGATTGAAAGATTTAACAGGTGGATAAAGTTGCAGAATGTGGAAGGATTCTTATTTCACCTGCTGATATTCTCATCTTTTTCCCCCCGATCGGTGTGTCTCCAGAGTCTGTTCATCTGATGCCTCTTCCCTCTCATTTTACTTATTGTCATTACCCAATATGTCAGGTTGCCATGGCAGTGAACTCAAGTCGTAAGTGCTTAAAACCACACAAATGCATAAACAGCAGATTAAAACCAACAGCCAGGTGGAGTTTCTACCAACTCTACTGTCTGGTGGTCAAAAATCACTAGATAAAATAAAAAACCTTTACTGTAGCAATAACAATAACAATTTAACACAAGCAATGAGGACTAAGTTACAACTTTTCCCAAATAGTTTTTTTTATTTGTATCATAGCATGTAAAATGGGTTCGGGTACATTACACATGACTGTGTGGCGCCGAAATGCATCTGAATGTCCGTCACAGTGACTCGTTCGCCCTCGTCAGTCCGTCGGTCGACCCACTTGTGCGTATCGATCCGACTGAATGCAGCACCCCCCCCCCTCGCGCCTGATAAGGCCGTGAGCACCTGAAGCCCCCCCCCCCTCCCCCACCCGCCCGCCTCCAGTTATCCGGCTGATGAAACTGGGGGATCACAAGCCGCAATCCGGAGCAGCGGTGACGGTCTCCCCCTGGGTCGGGGGGGAAGTGGGGATGATGCTGTCGTTGCCAGCAGAGCGATGGAAGGGATCGAGAGCTATTTCAAATGTAATAACACCGCAACCCGACAAAGCATCCTGAAAAAAAACTCAAGTTATTGTTTATCCACGGCACAAGGCAATCCTCTGGGAGATTTCCAACTGAAATCCACACGTCACAAATGTCATTTTTAATTCGCGAGCTAGAAATCAGTACACAATTTGCTTTTATATATTCAGGAGATATAATCATTTACAACTCTCTAAATTAACCACAACACTTCTTATACCTCCGTTTTGGTCTCCACCATCTCCAAGGAAACATCTGGCTCTAAAGCACAACTTGTTTACTAGCTAGATGCAAACTTGTGTTAATGTAACAGATGTGTTTAGACCATGGAAGTAGTCGACTCAGGTACTGATCTTTTCAGCATTTATTTGCTCCTGCAGAAGACAATAAAACACAGACATTGCCTTCTGGTCTCTGCACATCAGCTCCCTACACACAGGGTCTTCAACAGTGTAACGCTACTGTGAAGGAAAAACCGGACTACTGCAAAATCTAAATTATAGCTTGTCAAAGATCCAAATTGTGACAAAAAGGGGAGAACAACCCCAAGTGAACAAAATAAATAACAGTGACAACTGCAAAAATTCCAGCATTAAAACAAAAGAAAACACATACCTGCAGAAGACAATAAAACACAGACATTGCCTTCTGGTCTCTGCACATCAGCTCCCTACACACAGGGTCTATGGAGGGGAACGTATACGTCAGGACGACCGGATATAGCGAGTACAAACGGCGCGAAATTAAACAATGACCAAACGTATACTTTTATCACCACTCCATTAGAATAATGACGCACCACAGCTGAGAACCGTGGTCATGTTACCCACGCTAATGGTAGCTGATGTTAACAGTTATAATTAAGAACATAGGAAAATAGTGCAACGTTGTTTTTCTCTCAACTTACCTTCAACAGTGTAACACTACTGTGAAGGAAAAACGGGACTACGGAGGCCTAGGAGGCGCAGTAGAGATGAATCGCAATTTCCGCAAATTTGACTCATCAAAATAAAATTCACACACACACGTTCAACAAGATTGTTGAATAATAACCAAAAAATAAAATACAATACTTTGAAAATGACAGTGTATTTCTAACTCCGTTACATTAATATGCAGTTTGGTGCTCTGTTTCTCGGAGCTTTTACAGTAAAAGCTGCTCCGTGATGTTACTGGAAACAGGCTGAGAGGAGCAATGCTCATTGAGAATTGCCCGTGAGACCAAGATGCCAAATAAAAAAAGGAGCAATTTGCTATTGTAAAAGGCAATTTATTATCTCTTTCAACATTTTTGAAAATGTGGATTTGCAGGGATACCCGCCCTGCCAGTTTAATTCACGCAGACTTACACTGTAGACGGATGCAATTACATAGAAATGCACCCAAATGGCAGTGCGCTGAGTGGCTGACACACACAGACACACACACACACACACAGTCGATAAAGAGCTTCGCCGGTGTACTGCTGGCCCCGCTCTCAGAGCACGTCGAGGACACGTTAACGAGAGGTGAGGTCAAGCACCGCTCGGCTGCGCCGGCGTGCTCGATTTCACGAGAGCCGGATCCTGCGAGCGAGTATGTGGACGTCAGGGCCCCCTGTGATGTTGTGATGTCAAACTGGAGGGACGGAGACCAGCTCCAATCCTCCGACAACGATCTCTCTCCTTTTCACAAACACACGCAGAATAATAACCATTACCTTCATTAACCCCCAGACACGACTGCCCGGCAACACTTGGCGTTAGCATTTAGCTCAGAGCGCCGTTATCCCGGAGCCTTTAGAACGGGGGATTCGCTTCTTTTTCTTCTTCACAGCTTCTTGTTTTAATTTTTAGAGGAAAGTTAAAGACCCCACAGGAATGTTTTTACTTTTCATCACACAACAGAGTCGGCCCCACAGCGGATAAAACAAGTTATGCACAGGCAGGGAAGACACACACACAGTTTGCAAGCCCCTGGGCCCCTTCAGCCGGCTCCTTTGAATATAGTCGACTCCCAAACAGGCAGGAAGCGCCCAGGACAAATATGGAAATCTACCCCATGCTAATGTGACTTTTCAGAACAAGCAGGTATTAGGCAAATCCAAACCACGTGGACCTACGGCAGGAGTACATATTTGAATTTGTTGACATACAAATCTTGGAAATTGGAAATCAGCTCTGCAGTCGTATATAAGAACATATTTTGGCTTTATTCTACACATCTTAAGAATAGCACAGCTGGATGTGTGGTGGACGTGGCTAGGCGTGAGTGTAGATGCAGCATTTGTTTGTATGAATCAAGATTGATCAACATTCCACCGCTCAGAAGCCCCGTAAAAGTCAGCCTCTAGATTGCTGAATCGGTTTGTTTTGAATCATGGCGGAGACGTTATGGCAGTAAAAGCATCAGCCGTGGCAGATGGAGCCCTGCTTCTTAATGGAATCTACGTTCTGAGATTCACTCGCGTACCATTTGCATTTCCGAATGTGTTGCAGTTAAACTCTGCCGATGCCCTCGGGATCTGAGACTCTAGCAACAAGCTGTAAACAGTGAAATGTCGTAATGATCTAAGTTGTGCCTCCAGACCACGACTCTTAACGCAGATGGGTACTCGTCATGAAACACAAACTGTTCATCATGGACTCAAATCGGTTTCTTTTCCTTCTTCTTTTTCTGCTGCCAGACCTCCCGTCTTTTGTTTTGGTCTGAAATTACACCGCGAGTCATAGACGTCATCCTACTCGAGCTTGTTTCATTTCCTCTTTAAAGAACAGAACAGACGCAATACATAAGACTCCTGATCAAATGCTCTGTTTACCAAACACACAAGCAAAAGAAAAAGAAGAGATGTCCAAATGCTGATTACAAGACCTGCGCTGCAAATCAGCCAATCAGCTCCTCGTGGGCTCACAATCAACACAAGTGGCAATTACGTGTAACTTTCACCTGAAGAGTAACACAGAATGACAAGTAGTGATGTCATCACTGAACAAATGTCACGTTTATTTGGGGAGTTTTCTTTTTTTCCAGTAAATGACCCGATTGCACACGTTTTCCTTGTATATTTAGTTTTAAACGGGAGTTATAAGGCATCAAATACACAATTACAGTTCATCCTGGTCTTGATGAATACATCATGTAACAACGTAAAATGGTTTCATTTTAAGTAAAATACTGAAGTTCCAGCTTTGTGGAATTGACATTCATTCAGTGTTGGTTTCTCTGAACGGTTCTTTTCCAAAGCTTAACCTTTAATTAGTATTAAACACCTGAACTGACCTCAAACACCGACTACTAAGTCCGGCTTGGTTTCTTTGAGCCCTCACAGTCCACTTCTCCAAAATCCCAACCGAGACTGAACGCGCTCAGACCTTTTATTGAATGACAAATCGCAGATGAAATCAAACTCTTGCTTTGTCTGTTCAGATGTTCAGAGGCGGAAGTTTAACAGGCTGTCCGGGTGAAACCGCCGAAGGTCATTAGAGCTTCTTCCTTCCAATTCAGCGTCAGCTTCCAATCGGTCGCTGCGATCACATAAACGTTCACATTGAACGTGCTGCTTATTTGAAGTGTTTGAAGGCTTGTGTGTGTGTGTGTGTGTGTGTGTGTTGTTTGTACCTGTTGTGTCAACTTATTGACAGGATACGCTCAGTGTGATTAAATCGCAGGTCGTTCCATCGATTGTGACGTTTGTTAAGATGCGTCTGTCTTTTTATGTAACGTGTAACTTTACATACTAGTTTCCCCTTCAAACCTCCTTAGCGTGTAATCTGCTCACCGTTTAGACCGTTTAGAGAATGTTTTTTGTGGATGTTTTGTGTCGTAACACGGATCAACACTTTAACTCTTTCTGTTGCAGGCTCAGAAATTGAAGTCAAACTCGACTGCTGATGGAGTTTTCTGTGTGGTAAGTTTGATGGAATCATGAAACAAAACATACAATAAGTAACAGTTGGAGATTTAGACAAATAAAGACCACTCTCATTACAAAAATCAAATAAACAACATAACTCTGAAGGTATTTAACTAAAGGTTAGACGAGTTTCAAGGAATGTTCTTACTCTCAGAACTCTGTTGCCCAAAAAAGATCCCAAACGATTAGTAATGTCTAGCGAGCGCGTCTATCGCTTCCAGGGATCAAACAATCACAAAGCGTCACCCGACCTCGGTGTTGGAAGTCCGTCGCCTCGCGCTGACTGATTGCCGCGGCTATCCTTCCCGCCTTTTTTTGTGAACTCCTGGTCTTTGTAGTTCCTTTGAGGCTTAAATGGGATTGTTGCTTATCTGGTGGCTTTTAAAGTTCACTGGAAATGTCATTGTACAATAATAAGGCGGCGTTATGCACTGGACTGACATTTAATAGAGGCAGGGACATGTCTGGAGGAGATGACCCCGCCGTTAGCTTGCAGCTGTATTAGCAAGCACACACACACACACACGCTTATATATGATGGCTCATGCAAATGCACACACACACACACACACACACACACACACACACACACAGATCTTTGCTTTTCAATGCAATATTTTAATTATGGAAACAAACCTTTTGATTTCAGACAAGATGAATACGCTTAAGAGTATCATGGGCGATATTACTGAATTAAACAGTCTTGAATTGTGCCAACATTTGCATGCTTGAAGTGAACTGCAACTTAAAGTCAAATTTATGTCGCAGTGGGTGCAGAAAAAAGTCACAATGTCATTCTCCAATGTGTGATGCATGAGAGAAAAATACCTAAACACCTAAAACGTGACAATGGCCTTTGATATTGAAAATGCTTGGAAGCATCTTATGGTATTTTAGCTGTTTATTGGTCGTCATTAATCAAGCTGTCTGGAATAAGACATCAGCGTCCGCTGTGGGAAAGATGCAGAGGTACCTGCCACGGCTGATTCATGGGACTTTCTCATGCCGCCAGCCGAGCATTCGGACCAGAAACAAATGTGTGAAACGAGCTTGCTCTAAAAACTCATATTTTCCAAGACCTTTACATGTTAGCCCGATTAAGCATACGCTCCAAGGCGTAGTGTGTTTGCCTTCGAAAACTACATCTATTAAATATATATTTGCGTGAATACGAATATGCTAAATAAAGTCCACAGAATACTCATGTTTAAGAGTTAATGTTGGTGCGGAAGATCAGTGCCGAGCGATACAGAAAAACTCCATGCAGAGACTCGGCAGGTTAAACACGCACCTGCTGCTTGCCACACGCCCCGCGGCCCGCGATTTACTTATTCCACCCGCTCTGAGCTCTGTGATCCTGAACCAACCCTCCGTCTCCTCCACAGGACCCTCAGATCGACAGCCCGAGCACGTCCGACGCCAGGAACTCGGCCATCGTCTCCAGGCGGCCCGCCGGCCCGACCTCCCTGCTGCCCCCGCTGCTCTGGCTGTGGTACTGCGTCCCGCTGGCGCTCTCCTCGCCCGGCTCCTTGTAGCCTCGCGGCCTCACGGGCGCAAGCTACCACGGACTGACGAACGCACATTTGTACAAAAGCAAACGCAAGAAATTATAGTCTTTCTTCTCAGTAATACCTGTTTTACTTTTATTTCCCTTTCACGTGTCTTTCTTTTTGACTGCTACTTTGTTTTTTTTAATGGATTTTCTAGTTTGTCTTGCATTGCAGCTGTAGTCTACGTGTGTTAACTCGGTTTGGCCGTGTGCTCCCATTTGGGTTCGTTAACAAAAAAAGGGGGGGGGGGCGAGTCTGTTTGTGTGTCGAGGCTATTGGTGGGATCTTTTGCTCAAAAGTCACAGTCAGTTCAGTAATGGCTACATTGTATCACCCGGTTTGTGTCTGATAACGACGTCATCTGCTATTTTACTTTTATGAAAAGGTCCACGGAAATATTTACCCCGAGACGAAACAATTGAATTTGAGGGTAAAACAGCAGTAACTTCTCACATCATGGCGCGCCAAACGTCTGCACCGTACTGAACGCAAAGCACACAGGCAAAGACCCACAGACACACACACTGCACATGCTCACACATTCAGACAAACACACACACACACACACACATGATTTCTACTCCCTTTTCCCCTTTTTGGAGCACTACCTTGAGACGGCAGGTGAGCGCTCATTAGTGACTGTACATACGTGTAATTGTTCGCTGACCCTCTGTGGAGGTGACGGAGAAGCTGCTGCAGGTTTCCTTTTCCCTTTTTTTTTCCCCCCCGACGTGCTTTGACTCACTGTGTCCGCGGAAAGGAGCTGAGGGTGAAATGTCGTTGTACAGTATGTATTCTATGGTGACTCACTGCTCCATCGCGCCAAAGCTCAGTGCGTCCTTTCTTCTGTCAGTTCCGTGTCTCGACTTTTTGCCTCGGTTGTAAAGTGTGTGTTTGGGGAGGGAGGGATCCCTTCATATGGACCTTTTGTGAGTTTAAGCCAATCTAATACCTTCAACATTTTAGGGGGTGGGGGAGGTTCAGAAATTGTCCTTGTGAAGGTGACAAACTGTGTTGTGGCTCACCTGGAGGCCGGTCACATGATGAGGTTTGTCGAGAATTATCAGGCAGGTGTGTTAAAAGGGGCAGCCGAGAACTCGTACGGTTGTTCTGGATTCTCACCAACAACCTCATATGAAACACGCTTCCTCACGACGCGCGATCCAGACGTTCCACACGTGCGTTACTTCAGCCGCTTGACTGACAGGAGCGTTCATGGCGCGCCGCTTGGGTTTATGTAGCTTCTCAAAAACATGATTAATGTGTAGTCGAACTGAAACGTTATTTACCGAGCATTAACATGGTATATGCACCGTATGTACTTGGCTGAAACTATAAATTGGACAAATAACTGTCTGATATTCTATTCCAGAGCATTGTGAGCTATTTTGACTTTCTCATTCGACATAAAACACATTAAATAAACCATTTTGTTTTTTTATAACAACTTAAGTGTATATTTCTTCCGGTATGTACATGACTATGGAATATTATTGCATCTGAGAAAGAGGATATCAATGCATCTCTCCTGTTGTAGTTATATAAGACTGTATCTCCCAAACATATTGTTTTGTACTATTGCCCCATTTATGATGTTGCTTAAATATAGTATTAAGTTTTTGGCTAAGACTTATTTTTCTATCTTCTATTAATTTAGCTGTTTTGAAAAGGAGAAGTTGATCGTGATCATTTTGTTTTTTTACTGCTAAAATTATTTTGGTGCCAATAATTTGAGCGAGAAAGACGATTGATGCTAAAGACCAATATATTCTATTCTTCACCGGCAGAGTTTTTCATTGAATCACAAGTGGGAAAAGATTACCACAAAAAGGTGTGAAGTTTGGAGAGAAATGTTATGAGTTACTTTGCCACAACAACTCGGACTGGTTACATTTCTTAGAATTGTGTCTTACAATACTTTTAATTTCCTTTATCTGGATCCGAGTGTCATGTCTTCATTGACCGGGCGATATGAGACACGTCTGTAGTGGAGGTTCAGTGCTTCACCGCTCTTCACAGAGCTGCTCTGACATCACAAGGCCTCACAACGTGGCTCACGTCTTCCTGATGTTAGGTCCCAATTTAAAGAAAAAAACAATTAAGATGTTGAATACGTTTTTGCTGTCGGTCTCCATCCCATCTGTTGTTACAAAATACCAAAAATGGCTTTTTGGAGGCGCGGACTCCCTCAGCCATCGGCATCACTACTTCTTAGCTTGTGAAAATTTAAAATCTATTGTACAAAAGTTATGATTAAAAACTGTTAAATCACCCAGACTGTTTGTACGTGGTGTTATTTCAAGAGCAAAGAGGAAAATAAACCGCCACAGACACACAATCAACTTTTAATATAAACGTCACGAGTTGGTGTCGCTGACCTCGAGATGATACCAGATAAAGAAAGAAGCATCTGAACTTTTCTAGCTTTGCCAAACGGACACGTGAGGGAAGGCCGACGCTTCCAGGGGTCCTGAATCCAGGAGGACCGGGTCGCCTGCAAACAGCGGGGCGGATTACACGAATTACCCCAAAATTCCAATACAATAACCCTTTACTTCAAAGGTGGTGGGATGTTCCTTCGTGCGGTATTCTGCTGCGTGAGGAGTAAAATCCATCCGCTTCCACTTTGCCCAACAAACGGTCTTAAAACTGCTGCCCATTTTGTCAACTGTTCCTTACAGCTTCAGAGGAAGGACAGAGTGTCTCATTTTTTCACCTCACACTTGTTTGTGCTCTAATAAGAGATTGTCTCGTCGTCAGAAACATCTCACTCAAACAGACCATGAATAGTCGTAGAGCTAAAACGTTATTAATTAAAACCAACATAACCAGAATTATTTTGAAAGTGGGTCGATTGGAAAAGTGACGGCGTAAAGATGCTGTCGTTCACGGCTCCACGTTTTGTATTAAAAAGGTGTTGATAGTCAATGACAAAGTGGACATTTGCTGACACATTTCTGTTATGATGAATAAAACGTTCATGTAAAATAGAATCAAAGTGGAGGGTAAATGGTCCGACGCCTCCACGGCATTGTCATTAAACGCCAGAAAATGAGTCTGACATTTGAATGTGATTTCTAGTCATAATTTTGCTTCATCCTCTGACTCAGCCATTACACTAACTCCATGTCCTCAAGACCTTCTACGGCGCTCTATAATACCAAAATAACCACTAAGGCCAAGAAAGTCTTCAGGTTTCGGAAGTGGCCATAAATGCCCCTTGTTGACTTGTTGAAGGAGGCTGAACGACGTCACGTCTGCGTGACACGGTTCAATTTAAGAACATGCTTAAAAACATGTTTAATTAAGAAGATTTTGGAGATACAGCATAAAGCTAAACGCTGTAAAAAAAAAAAAAAGACATTGCTATAAACTATAAAGACAGCTATCGATACCACATCCATTAAATGTGGGGGATTATAATTTTCCTGCAGCGATGGAGTTTATTAGGAGCCATTAAAGCCGGCGGAGCGATCACCATAAGTGACTTGAGGAGAAGAAGGAACGCAGTCGGTCCCACCGCCAAACAATGTTAATATGGAAACTGCCAAGAATGAGCGTCACCGCTGCGTCAGTCTGCACTGCAGAAAACTTGAAACTTTCCTGATCATCGATGTCATCGTTGTGTGTTGCAGTGAAGCCTGAGACACAAACGGCTGCTGGTTTAATGACATTCTGCCATCGTGGACTCGGGGGTTACACCGGGGATGTTTTGGTAAACACTCAACATCTGTTTCGCTGTCATCACTTTGCGTCCTTTCTTCTTCTTCCCCCCCTTTGTGTAATCACGATAGTTTTGTGTGTTCAGCTTCTTTCATCGACTTTGCTCTAAAATGGTGACCGCCCCTTTCATCCTCAGAACTGGTTTGAAAACCTGGCGGATCAGGATAAAAGGCAGAGTGCACCACTTCCTCCCGCCTCTTATGTGCAGGTTATTGAGCTGTGAGCAGATGCCAGCAGCCCACTTAATGCTAAATACTGCAGTCTTTTATCTTGAGAAAGAATACAGTCAGCTGAGAGTGTAGAGGCGCATACTTGTCTCCTCGCGGTCACTAATGGTGGTGACGGCAGCAGCGTTAATGGTCTCGAGGCCTTTCAAGTCCCAGATTGTGGACTTCAGAGAAAGGCGTCAAAAGGGAAAAGTCCAATAAACCTGGTGTGAAAATAGCCGGATATTAGCGCCTTTGTTGTTGATTTGAAATAGTTCACTAAAATAATACTAACCTTGGTTTAAGAATTGATTCATACTGAGGGTTTTTAAATGTAAGTTGGACCATGCATTACTACAGCCACTAGAATGCTGGGGGGGGTTTCCTTTTGTGGTTGTGCAAGGTGACATTTTACAAAGTGTGCGCACTGAGACATTTAGTTTCGGTCCAAAAAAAACTTCCCATGTTTTGCCATCTTTTGGTTCAGCGCGACCTGCGTTAAAAAACGTTGTGTACAAGTTAACCGATGTATTTGAGTAGCATGCGTCACGCGTTGGCGGTATTAATTAGGGGTAACAGAACTGTGTCTAAGGATTATGTCAAATGTGAACACGGCCCTTTTGTTGTCAGCTGATTTTCGGCGGGCTCGCGCGTTCAGATCGCTGAGCCACGATCTAAGTGACTCCATCAGCAGTGTTAGACGGGTCTATGGTGTAGGCTGAGCTTGTTATTTGACTCCATTGACCATCCCAGGAACATCGATCAATACACCACCAGAGGCAGGAACACACACAGTATATCTGATCCAATTTCCATACAAAAAGGCATCAAAATGTTTTAATTGTAAATGTACAGATTTATGCTCAAACGGACAGAAACACTGTGATGAGCTGCCCTTTGTTAAAAGTCTCTAACTGCAAAATCACATGAAGACAAAATGCCTGAATGAACAGTCAGACTTTATCTGTGTGTATATACATACATACATACATACATACATACATACATACGGGACATGTGTATAAAGCATTTCAAAAGTTCTGTTATTGACGTTTTTCTCATTATCAAAGAAAAAACAGTTAAATTCAGATGAGTAATGTAGCGTGTACTTGGCAAAACTGCAGCCTGCACTATTGTGCACAAGACACTGAAACACACACGTTGAGGCTAAATTATTTCACCAATCTGTTCTCGTTCAAATGTCTATTTATGCCCTTTCAGTTGTCTGTTCTGCCCGTACAAAACAAACCCTTCACACAAAGTAACATCTCGTTGTAAAAAGGAATTTTTGCAATCTGAAGTCATCCAGAGAAGCCCTGTCAGTCATCTGGCAGGCAATTCCAAACTTTTGAATGTGTGTGTATGTGCAGTTGATAAAAAGTGACTTTACAATATTTGATGGTTCTACCACAATTGAAGGGAAAGAAAAAAACATTCAACATCACATAAAAGAAACGCTATCATGTATATGCATATATAATATTTGGAAACCAAGACAGTGAGGGTAAGAAAAAAAGTAAATACCGCACAGACTCGCTTCGTAATCTATTGTTTAATCTTCTCATTCAAAAAAAAAAACATCGACTGAACCTTAGTGCATTTGTAAAATTATTGTTTAACTGTAATGCATCATTTATAAATTTTACATAATTATGTTACATTAAAGTTTGCATTACAAGAAAACAGGCAGGAAATTCAGGTCAGGAGAAAGGATGTATGGTGTATGTTCACAGTAATAACTCAATTGATAGGCATATAAATACCATCAGTAGTATGTGTTTCATGATACCGACCTTGAGGTTACATTGCAGCCCAGAATAAACATTTGGATGAATACTTGCATAATATTATCCCCCAGTGGGTCCTAATGTACTGGTAAAGCGTTTCACTTATAGTGCATATACAGACATGTGTGAGGCCCAAAACTGCAGATGATGGACCCTTTTCCACTTGAGAAGACCTGAGCCGGTATCAAAAACATCAAATGTTGGAGAAAATGTACGGATGTATATTTCAAGGACAAATCTCAATAGTTACATCCAATCATCTTTGTCCTTTAACATCTCAATATTAGTAGTGTTTTTAACAATTCCCAGAGGACACTTTCTCCTCAAGCCGATGCCACAGAGCAACACCCACTCATGAGTCCGAGTAGGTTCGTAAGTCAGGAGGACTTCATCTCAGCTCAGTCAATCTCTTCAAGCCATTTAGTTTGGTTTAATGGGGTAAAACCACTGTTTTCCTCTGTCAATATGGCAGATTGCGTGACAGACAAGTAGAGCCCAGGAGATAAAGAGCCTGGAACGGGTAAAGCTCGCCAGCAATCACAGTAAATGTCTGACCAAAGCTCTGGTGGAAAATACGCATTGTTGCTGTCAATCTGCAGGTTTCCAATTATTTGTTTCCAGGCTGTTCATATACACACAAGAGACAAGGAGATCATGTTGACGGAAACATTTTCCATCTAAATCAGAGAAGAAGTGCTGTTTTCCCTCCATTCGAATGCCCGTTGATGAGAAATATATATTTACTCTTCTTCCAATCTGACAACATCCAAACGCGATTCCTTGCCTTTGTTTACAATGGGTCCCTTAGTCTAAAATCCATGAAAACATCTGCTGCCGTCAGTGTAGAAGATCCAGTTCATACACAGGTTCCTTGGTGGTGAACAATGTTTTTTCGGTGCTTCAAACCAAGGCCTCTTTCCTTGTAGTCCATTACTCGCTGTTGCGATGTGTCTACCAAGGCACTGGCAATAGCGATACCTAGAATACCAATGAAAAAGAGAGTTAATGAAGAGTTATATGACATGCTTTGGCGATGGCCATTTAAGTAATTGTGCCGATTCATCTCCTATAGGTAGGTATTGTGAAGATCCGTTCTCAACTGCAAATGTGGAGTTCCACAAGGTTCGATTTTGGGTCACTTGTTTTTTATTACAGTATTAAAAGAGATTTGCTTCAACGGTAAAATGTAATTACAATGCAAAAATGTATAATACTTCAAGGTATATATATAAATACATATAATTTATATGGAAAAATAGACATCTATATACATAGATATCTACATATAATACATCTATAGGGCGAGAGAGAGAGAGATAAACCCACCAAAAGCAGAAAACATGTTATCAACGTCTCTCCCGCTAGTGTTGAACACAAGGGGGTTTACGCTGAGGTTACTGAAGTGTAACTCCCACCATCCTGCCTCCTTTTCTCTCTCTCACCATTCAGCAGGATCCCATATATCTCAAAACAGCTTCTGCATCAGAGTCTTGACTCGCTCTCCACAGCGGGGCTCAGATGCACCGGGGCATCAGATGACTCGCAGCATTGTGTTACCTTGGCAGGAGCTGCTGTTGTTCATGAGGCTTTAGAGTCACGGCATCTTTTGCGAGCACAGCTAGTCCCGTCTTCCCCTCCTGACGACCGTGGGCTTAAAACGGCCGGTCATTATGACAAAAGCTCAATCTGCCGGTACGCAGGAGCCCAAAGAACAAAACAGGCAAACAGTGGAAGGGATCTGTTGTGCTCTTGATATGATTTGGATTTCACACGCGAGTGATTCTTGGAATTCCTTTTTGTGGGTGAAAGGGGAAAGCCGATTACACAGTCGCTCAGTCTGTTCCTGTGTGTAAACTTTAATCTGCAGGTTTATGTACGTGTGCGTCCACCTGTGCACTTACATATTTTGCAGTTTGAATACAGGAAATGTGCCCTCTGACTGTCTGGAGACAGCTGGGCTGTTCAAATTGGCTCATGATGGTAGTTGTTTCACTTTGGAGCGGTTTTATCTACCACAGACAGTACTTAAATGTTTTTTTTGTTGCTATGGTAATTCAAGGAGTAAACATACCTCCATAAGAGTTTGTGAGGTTAGACACCGTGGTCACATTCGTTCCTCTTTAAGGGAAGATGATTTGGACGGCTTCTGTTACTCAACGTCTTACTTCTTTAAGCATAAACAAAAATAACATGTTTGTTATTCATTGTTTATTACTGGAGCACTTATGGCAAACGACCAAATTCATAATGGGAAAAGGTGCAACAGACCTAAAGACTCACATCCCCCGACCGCCTGGGCAGACCTGCCCGACCGGAAGCTAAGCTAACAGAGCACAGCGACAAAAAATGATCCACGAATCCTTATATAGAATATATACCAGAATATATAGACCAGTACTCGTATCACAACCAAATCCAATGAAATGGAGAACACTGACTGGGAAATTTAAATGAGATACTTATTCATTTGGGACCTGACATCTGAATATTTTTCCATCAAAATTGCTTTTACCTTTGACAAATTGCCATTCTAATTGTGTTGATGTTTCCGGGTGAAAACACACATCTCCATTTGCGAAATTAAATTGGTCAAAAGTAATCAAATCATACTGCAGGTGAGTGCAAGTGCTCATTTGCTGCCGCGGCGACCGTCCGCGTTAATGTGATTGTTTTGTCAGGTGAGTTGACGCGTCATTAACACCCACTCACGCAACGAGCCTCCCCGACTCCGGGTGGACTAATGGGGTCATTAGGGACAGAATTCCTCAGGAACACATATTGGCACACATCTGGTGTCCAAGAAAATGTCCCTGCAGGGGACATCTGTGTCGGGCGGAGCTCTCTCTAACGCGGTGGCGAACCTCTCCCTTCAAACATCAAAGCCTCCTGAGTTTGTGCTCGCCCTCAATCAAGGCGCCGGGGTTGGCCGCCTGCTCGGGATCCGGCATAATGGTAAACAGCGTCCTCGGAGGGGAAATCAAAGTCAGTCAAACAGTGGAACATTGACGTATTCAAATATTTATGCATCTGTGATGCACGGATTTCAGGTTTTATGAGACCGGTAAACACGGGTCCACTTTGATGCACGTAAGACTCGGGTTTGATGCCGAGTAACTAGGAGGCCTTTCATGAATAGTGCAAGCCAGTGTTTGGCACAGCTTCTCCTTTCTTGTTTCAATAATGCAAGAAAAATATCTCCAAATTGCATGGAATTTGTGTTCCAATGCCTCTAAAAGATATGTAGGACAGCACAAAAGGTGGAAGGATGTACCCAAAAGTTTGAGGCAGATGCTTTGTTGTCCTAAAAGGAGGTTTTCAAGTTGTGATGTATTCGGCAACGTCACACATAGCGTCCTCATTACGGTTCAGACTTTACTTCTCTTTCCTCAATAGTTTTAAGCATCTATCCCAATTGTTCGCAATTCTTCGACATGTTTAAAATTGTTCATTTTTTGCTTTGTCAAATGTTCCGGGAACAACACCACAAAGAAAGGAGCCAAATGCAGAACAACACAAGTAAGGTAGGGTGAGTGACTCGATTCGGACAAACCTTCAAAAATGAATAAATGAGCGGTCCGAGAGTAAATACCAGCGAGTATTGGACTAAAAGTCAGAGAGCGCATCCCAGCGGAGCGGACGCTTTCAAAGACAGAGACCATCAAAGACTCGGAGGTCCACTACGGGTCGATGGACGCCCTACGATTCCTGTCAAGCAGCTGTCCAGTCAGACCCCCCGTGGGGGGGAGGGAGAGGAGAGCGATGCAGAGAGAGGAAGAGGAGCCACTGCAGCGATGCTCACGGGCCGCTGGTCACGCCGCCTTCAGGGAGAGGAAAGACAAACTCATACAAACTCCAAAAAGAAAAACTCCAACAGCATCTTAACAGCATGCGGCTGGTGGATGACTGGCCGGCTACGCCCAAACGAGGAAGGGGAAACGTTGGGGGTGTTGTGGATAATAACAGTAGCAGCGGTAACCATGGCAACCGTGGAGGACCAAAGCTTACCAAACTCGTAAAACAGAGGCTGATGGAGCTACTTTCACAACCGCACACAGACATCCACCTTGTCCGACCTCCGTCACTTAATAACGGGGAGAATTAGACCTTTTGCCAAGGTGAGGGTGATGCTGCAGAAGATGCTTTGTCAGGAGAGAGAGAAGAGAAACAAAGCCGAACCTGAAGAACTAAACACGGACAAATGGTCTTCTCACTGTTTTTGTGATTTTACAGTCTTGTCACATAGTTTTCACTGAAAATGAGACCAGAGTACATCGTGGACATTGAGTGCACCAAGAGACATGACATTATAAAATAATTAAAAAGCATGCATATGAGCAGGGAGTTTTCTTTTCAAGTACATTCATTTGGTTAACATATGCACAGTATATCCGGTAATTGTGTAATTCAGTAACATCTTTGCTGTTATGATAAAATGCAGAGTCATTCGGATTCAATCTCTATTTCATAAATTTGCTTAAAAATTGTGCGACAGATTTTTCCCACCCAAAAGAGAAAGAAAGACATCGAGAGACTGGAGGATGCAAAGGAAATGATTACATGTCCTTCCTGCTTCCGAGGACTTATCAAAGCATATTGTTGCAGCAATAAGAAACTCGGGTTTAACGGGCGAACTCTTCATACTTATTGTACTTCATTGGCAACTCCTTCGATCACCCACCAACTCTGCTGCTTTCTACCTTTTCACTTTCAGTACATTTATCAAACCTCTCTCTCTCGTGCTGCTCTTTCTATTTCTACTCACAAAGACTTCTTACAGTACCTGTATTTTCCGCTCTGATTTTACCCACACTGTCTCCGGTGCTGAATAGGCAGATTAGCGCGGGCAAACGGCGCCTCTATTGACCCACTATTTAAGCCTGAGAGGGAGAGTGAAATGTAGCCCACTAGCTCTGTTATCCCTCCACAATTCCACCGCACCAAATTGGAAATATGTGCAGCCTGGTAAACCCGTTAACTGCTGATTGAGTCCCGTAGTGTTTGAAACAGTGAACCAAACGCTGTGGGAGGCACAACATGAGGTGGCGGGTCTGATGGAAGAAGGGTGACAGGAAACGGGCCGCGGAGATGGAACCCAGAAATAACTTCTTATTCCCCCTTCCCCCCCCCAGTCCTGACCGCCCTGTTCTCCTGCTCTGTCGCCGTGACTTTGAATCCTTCATGCAGCCGCTAAGTGAGCGAGCTGTTCCTCCTGTGCAGGTCGCTCGCAAAAGGCCGTCCGCTGCAATTTGGCCGACGAGCGCCGTCAGTCACTGTGGCCCCTGTTCCGTCGGCTAAAAAAAAAAACAAAAACCCCACAGCGCTGAGACTGCAGCAGCCTGTAATCTCATCACGGCCCGTGGTGAGAGGGAGAGCGAGGCGTGCAGGGAACATGCAGAGAACACGGGGTAAGTGAAGGGGTCCCTGTATCAGAGGACGGGTGTTTTCCTGCAGAATAATGTACCAGTCGACAGGCGTTGAGTCACACGAGGACCAGGCGATCGTGGCTTTCACTCTGCTGTCGTCCTCCAGATGCTTCTGGGGGGACTCAAAGTCTCTCTACTGGCCCTTGGGGAATATGCGACGTCTCCGGCGTGTTCGGGTTGTCCTCCCAGTTGAAGGTATCTGGTAAGCTTCTGAAGGGAGGTGTCAATTAGAAGTCCCCTAGTCAGAGTCCCTTCAACATGAAAAGGCAGCGGGCCTTCTCTGACGTCCTCCGTGACGTCTCGTCTCTTCCCCCCCCCCCCCCCGTGAATGAAGCGCGGCACTCATCTTGTGCTCCATCACTAGATCACCAGATGGTGGCTTACGTAAAGAAGTGACGCTGACGTGATGCCGGTTGGCATCCGGGTGATGAGGAAATGTAAAAGTTCTGAGACTCTCCGGGCCACTTTTGGAGGGTTTCCCCATCACGCAAACTCGCCAAGCGAGACCGAGCCTCTGATTCCGTGATACCGCGCTCTTGCTTTTAAGCCTCAAGCAAAAGTACCAGAACGATAAAAGAACAAACAGGACACAGCAAGCGAAACGCGCGTTAAGATAGCGGAGGAACCGCGGATGGTGCGACTGCAGCTCCTCTTCTGAAAGCAACGTGGGCGCCTCCTCCTTCCCTCCCGCTTACGCATGAAGAGGGCACTTACTGGTAACAGCTCAGGGAGGCGAGGAAAGCAGGACGAGAAGAAATCCGCGAGAAGAAAGGGAAGACAGCGCGAGGGAGGGCGAGCTAAAAAAAAAAAAAAAAGGCCCGCTCATCCCGGATTCCTCTTGAAGTGTCTCCCATTGAGGGTGGGCGGAGCTAGCCTGCGGTAAATCCACGCTTGCGCGCGGCAACATCAATGGAGGGCTGCTGTCTTGACCCCGTGGAAGTCGTCCTCTGGGGAGCGCGGGCGGGAGCGGAGAGGGCTGGGGACCGATGGCGGGCGGGCGAAGCGCCGAACCCTCTTCTTGCCGTCTCCTCCGTGCATATCGTGTGTGGTTTACAGTGCTGGCAGCCGTGATCGCGGCTCTCTGATCGCCACGCGGACGCACCAGTGGACCAAGAGGTCTTATGGTGTCCAAGACAACAAGAGCTGTTTCGTTGATTTGATGAGGAAAAAACAGCAAACAATACGCGGCCTTAGTGGGAGCAGAAAAGAACTCTCACTCTCTCTGCTGTCTATATATTTGTTTTAGGTTCTTTTCTACGCGTTGTTGTTTTTCCTCATTGAAAACAATCCATTTCTAAAATCGACATTTTCTTTTACCCTTTGACTGCTTACACTCAGCAGCAGTCGGCAGCAGACGTCCAATTTGATTTTTGCTAACTATTCAGCTGATTATATTCAGCTTACTTCTCCTCCATCTCACCCACACGAACCCTTCTCATCCCGTCCCGTGTCGCCCAGCGCTTCCATGACCGCCTGCTCCGCTCGCTTCCTCCGTCAGCTGCTTTGCTTCCTGTCTGGAGGAACACAGGCTCCTCGCACCTGCTCCCGTTACATGCCGCACGTTCACTGCGAGAACGCGTCTGGGCTTCTGAGGGAGCGGGGGAGGGAGGGAGGGAGGTGGAGGAGGCTTCGTGCTGACGGAGCACAGCGCTGCAGGCCTCGTTAGCTCTGGGAGGAAGTGCCGCCGTCTTCCAGTTTGGCGGCGGCGGCGTCGGGGGTCGGGGCGGTGTCACATGACCCGCGACTACCGCGGCACCCGGAGCTCTGACTGTGGAGAGTGCGGAAGTCTCATGCGGGGGGGGGGGGGGGGACAATTGATCCAACAGAGAGCGCCGACCACATCGGACCTTCTTCTTAAATGTGCCGTGTGTCAAGAGTTTGTCTGAATAATTCATTATAAAACCGCAGAGGATGTGCTGACGGCGAGAGTCGGGGGCCGCGCGCTTCACGGGGGGGGACACGCAGCGTGCGAGAACCGCCGCTCGCAGATTGATTCTAAAGTGGAGGAAATGTCAGAGAACTGTCAGTCCAAAAAACTGTCAATCCCATTTTCCCACAGCAGCTCAACAGCCCGCGAAGACGTCCACGCCGCGTCGCAGCGTGTTTTACGCCGGCTTTGTTCAAAAGGGCCTTTGCAGTTTCACACGAGAGGCGACGCGAAGCCGCCGCGAGCTTACAGCTGGAGACTCGATTGACAGCCGCAAAAAAAAACAGCTCAACTCGTAAAAAGGATCGTGAACTGTGTGGAAGGGGTTTTTTTTGTTTTCGCGAACGGAAATGAGGGATTTCATGGACCGGAGACAGACGGCGGTTTACGACGCCGGCGCCAATCAAATGAGAACGGAGAGACGACGTTCGTTTGCACTTAATCATCAAAAGGAACATTATCTCTGGTGAGTGTCTGACGGTCGGACATGAACGCCGCAGCTGGTTATTGTGCATCCTCCGTTTCCCAAATGATCAGCACAAAGTATGATTGAGCGCCTTTGTGTTCTCTCACTCACGAACACGACGCTGCGTGTCCACACGCCACACAGCTCACGTCAAACAAGTGAATACGCTGCCGTCTGTTGCAGACGGCGCAAAACGAGTCGGACGCAACGTTGCTGAAAAGCAGAATGTGCACGGAGGCCGATGCGTCGCCAGCGTTACAGATACACAACCGTCCAACCAAAGTCAGAGACGGAGTGAGACGCCGTGTGTGTGTTTGTGTGCATCGCACCAGACTGTCCCGGCGGAGGAATTCCAGACGGGACTCGGGGCAGATAGAGCAGCACCGTCAGAACACCCGCTCTGCTCCCCCAACATGGCTCCATGGCGACGGGCTTGGGCAACGCCTGTTTGGACACACAAACACAAACACACACACACACATGAATGTAGCAGATAACCAGGGCTCATAATTCCATAGACAGATCCCATAAACAGACAAATAGAAAATGCTCAGCGGGGGTCAAATACTGCAAGAATCTTTTTAATTTCTCCATAGAAAACAATCCCTGTGTTAATTTATTCGAAATGTGATTTTACAACAATATCTCACGTTTTCATGGAGCTTAACTATTTGCAGGATTTGGAAGTGTATCTCTTGAAAAAGGATGCATGAACCTAGAATTGCACATGCCGTGATGAGTCCAGATGAATAAGGAATAAAAGTGAGCGTCCCCGGAGGGGGATAACCGTCCTGCACAGGGCCCTCGGGACACCGAGCACACGCAGTCTGTCTGCACGAGGACATTTATTGGCTGCGGCTGAGGTTCCTTACATCAGGATACAAGGAGGGGTCATTAAGCCATCGATCGGGTTTGACCCTTGTGCCGGTCAGTGGCACAGAGGTCACGCAGAAAGGCCGTGTGGTGGGTGGGTAAGTGAGACGTGCGCACACACACACACACACACACGTATGCACAATACAACATCTCAGAGTCTTTTATTTCCTCTTTACACATTGCTTTGTTTCACACACACATTTCATAACCATCTCTCCCATTAGTTCTGATCCCCTTCCTGCTGTTTCATACCCGCATATTAATAAAGACCATCTGTGCTCAATAATCGTGAATACGGGTTTAAAAGAACAAACTGGCTGTCCTCATATTTCATTACCTCGGGTGATTTTATAAACACAAAAGAAAATCATCTCAACTTTCAAACTGCATCAAATCATTAAATACAGATTTGCGTTGCAGTGTGTTAAGCAACCAGCATGCGTTTAGGCTTCAGAGAGCAATTAAAGGACACAACAAGTCACACGGCTGCTGTCAAAGTAGTTACCAGCTTAACACAACCAGGACCACCTCGGTACAAACACCGAGAAGGACAGGTACGCGCACGCACACACACACACACACACATTTAAACAGCCCCTCCGGTGCTAATAGGTTTAAGTGCTGGAGCGTACAGCGTAATTAGAGGCAAGAGGCTCTCGTGTTTGTCTGCTTGTTTTGAGAGTGTCAGGAAATGATGAATTCCCTCCTAACTAAAACACACACACACACACACACACACACACACACACAAGCAACTAGAGTTTCCTATTAGCAAACCACTATTTCCTGTAAAAAGGAAAGAAATGCGTCATTCTTCTGCTTTGGGATTTGTTGGTGAGAGAGAAAAACTTTGTGATGACGTTAAATAAAGAGCAGGTGCACGAGGACACGTCGCCTTTTGTAGAAGATGGACACAATTTGACCGCGAGAAGCACAAAGGATTATTGTGCACTTTCTCGCTTGCTTGTCGGAATGGCTCCTAAACCAACAGTACTTGAAGTTGTGTGTGTGTGTGTGTGTGTTTGTCGTCGCAGCCCACTAGTTCCTTTGATCTACAGGGTTTAAAGAACAATAAAAGGAGCGCACACACACAATCATGTTTACAAGGCGCCATTTCCTCCAGGAAATGAGCCCTTACTCGTGTTTGCGTTCATTATGAATTCACTCTTGTGCAGACGGCGGAGATGCTTGCGGAGCGGTCACATGGTCACGTGGTCACACGTGGCGGTGATGGAGCTCGCTGCCCAGGCGTGAAAACCACCGTCACGGTCTGTGATTTTGTGAAACAATGAAGAATTCCAGGTGTTCAGGTGGATATAAAACGCATTCAAACACCGTCTGACATTCATGTAAAGCTAATGGAAAATTAAAAAACAAATGTATACAGATAAGATGAGACAAAGGCCTCCTGTGCAAAGCAAAATGACAGCGTCCGCGAGGGCCGAGCGGGTCGTTCACCGATGATTCGATTGGCGGTTTGATCCCCGGCTGCGGTCTAAATGTCAAAGTGCCTTCGGGGCAAGAAGCCGCAGCCCGAACCCCTCCTGAAGGGCGTGAGTGTGTGAATTAGCATTTAGACTAGGCTGACGGGCGGGCGGCGGGCGGCGGTGGGGGGGGGGGCACGTTGTGTGTGTCAGTGGGTGAACGCTGACGTGCGGCGTGCAGCTCAGGCGAGTGGTCACATGATGAAAAGGCGCCGTATGAACTCCGACCAGTTACCTCCAGTTTTAACTCATTTAAACCTGTGACTGCATCACCCCAAAGAGGCCCCCGGCTCCGCTGTCACCTGCGAGGGGACCGTTTGATCTCAACGGTTAATTAATGGCAATTCTAACTGCGGCGGCGTCCAACTGTGTGTGTGTGTGTGTGTGTGTGTGTGTTCTTTGTGGTACAGAGTGTGCAGCGTACACAATGCAGCAGAGCCGGCGTGACGCTGCGGCTGTAAGAGCTTTTTTCTGGCTGCTTTCCCAACCCAATCACAATAAGTGAGGGGGGAGGGAGGAGGGTGGGGTGAGGGGGGGAGGGGGGGGGTAAGAGAGCGGTAGAGTGCATCCAGCCAGGTAGGTGGTGTCCAGGTAGCCGTTGGAGTCGATGGTAGAATCCTGCTGAGCTGTCTGTCCGGTATAAAAGCTAAGTAGAGCCGAGGACAGCAGCGGTTCTGAAGGGAGGGGGGACGGGGGGGGGGGGGGGGGGGGGGGGCAAGCGTCATATTTGAGAAACCAAGTGGCACTTAAGCCCGGACAACAGTTTTTTTCCGCTGACGGCGAGCGACGGGGAAATGGGCTACTTGGCGGCGCGGAGCGATACGAGTCCTTCATCCCGCGAGGAATCATTGGAAAGAATCCAGCAGGAGTTTAGTGGTTTGGTGCCGTTTTTAATGAGGTCTCGATTACGGAGAACACACGTCCACTATTAGTCAGTTCACGGTCCAGTACGCCATGTTCCTGCATCCTGTTTCAGCCCAACAACCCCTCCACGCGTCTCTGGGATGGATTCTGTGATAACGCCGTTTAAACACACTTGAATGTGTTATAATCTATTCATAGCACTGTAGTATAGCTAGTAACAACATTAAAAAAGCACTTTAAAATGACTTGCTGTATAAGATCAGTTATCATAATACACATTTTCTTTGAGAAGGATCATTTTGTGTCGTAATAATAATTAAAATGACTTAGACCAGCTTATTATCACGTTAAACTTCATGTAAAACTGTGATAGTCTTATTATTGAGATTGCAACAAGAACGTCAGTGACAAGCGGATCAGCCGACTTACATCCAATCACACAAAAGCTTTATCAATGAAGTGTTTCCAGTGAGGTTAAGTTCCCGTCCCGTCTCGCCTCCCTCCTCCTCCTCCCTCCTCCTCCCTCCTCCTCCTCCCTCCTCATCCCTCTACATCCCTCTGCCCAGACAAACCGCTGGTACCCGTCTCCGTCCCCTGGATGGACTGAATGGTGGATTGAGCAGCATTCTGAGGTGGGGAGTGTTGCTGCCGGAGCGCGATGGATAAATAGTTTGAGCCCAGAGAAAATCAGAGTCAAACGCTTGTCTTCCTCTAAATAGCTTATTTTTCTCCGTGTTTCTTTTCTCTCCCAAAGTCGTCTTCTCTCAGCTTTCAACCGATTTTATTTTTCTCTCCAAGGCGAATCACAGTTGTGGTGAAGTGCAAATTCCTAAAACCAACCATCCAAATAGGCGTCCAATTTAGTGGTGGGCAGCAGGCGAGGGATGCAAATGCGATGTGCTGCGCGGAGCAGAGGGGTGGGGAGGGATCGGCGTGGTGAACAGTCTAACCCTGAGACTACATACGGCATCAAAGTCACCCGCCGGAGAGTCTGAGGACAAATACACACACACATCGGAAAAATCTAAACAGCCATTAGCATCCTTAGCGTTAGCATCTTGGACTAGCAGCCGTGTTTTAGTTTTTGTGAGACTGGGCTCTACTTGATGGCATTGAAACTATTCTTTCCTCTTCCTCCTCTCAATTGGGAACTATTGAGGCTCTACTGGAGGTTATGAAGAAGCGCTAATGCATCGACATCCATCATCTTCATGATGGAGTCCCATATGGAGAGGGACACGTCTCAAATCGACTGAAAAACATGAGGGAGCATTATGTCTTTTAAACAGACTGAATCCTGCATTAGAAGCGGCGGTGAATGTCTCTTTTTTTTCCTCTGCATGTATTGGGAAATATATACTTTACTCTCATGAAAACCAGAATGAAGGACACATCCATGTTGTTTTTAAAGGTGAACTTGAGGAGTGAAAGTTGTATCTGAACACAGCGAAGCAGCAAACACAACCCCCCCCCCAACGCTGTGGCTGCAGGTCAGAGGATGAAGACACTTGTTTCCCCTCCGAGTGTCAAACTCATTTTACGCCAATTAGGTCTTTTTCCACCAACTGGGCTGCAGTGAACAAACAGAGAAGTAGTGGCTGGAGACCCGAAATGAGACGAGTCACCTAATTCACAGAGCGGAGGGAAGTCGCTTTGAGTTGTGTGCTTTAAGCCACGAGGTGACTCCTCGTCACATTTGGTGCACCAACGCTTTGCTTTTTTTTTTTTTTTCACAAAAAGGTCAAAACCCACCTGAAGTAAGTTTTAAAAAATGTTCATGGGAGATACGTTGTCGTTCACAAGGGCCAACGAGGACAAACTCGCCCCGGTTTGTAAGTGAATCCATCCTCGCTGGGGTGGGAAACAGCCCCCAGGCACACAAACAATGCACTTTGTTTACTGGATTAAAGAGGCGGTGGAGCCGGTGCGTATCAGGAGGATCTCTTGCAGCGACGCTCGTCTTGCTATCTTTGTTCATATCGGCATTCATAAGTCCTCCGGCGCGATCTCACCGCGCAGGAGGATCTCTGCCGTGCCGATTATGTGGATGTTACGCTGTTAGCGATGATCCATTCAGAGCGGAGAGGGAGGGCGCGTTAAGAGGCACAGATGTTGGGGCTGCTGTTGGAGGGAGTGGTGCAGAATTCAAAACATCAAATCCAAATGTGATTCTCTCAACAAGTAAGAGAAGATCAATAGATATTAGCTGTTCCGTCTGTT